AATGAGTTAATGGGGCTCAGAGGAGGGAGCATAGCATTAGATGGTGTCTACTTGTGTTGGTTATTTTTTTTTGTTTCTACCTTATTCCGTTCTTCCTGGACTTGCGTCTCACCGGCGACATGTTCTCTCATAGCGAACCGTTACCTTTTTCTTATTTGCCTACAGTCTATGCTCATCTCCCATCAAAAGTGGCACTGCCACCTAGAGGGTCAATTTGTTACTACATACTCTGTCTAGAAGCCTGATATTTACGGACAAGCTTTAGCAGATCGTCCCCCAAACCACTCGCGTTGAAAAACATAAAAGACGTCTATAGACGTCTTTGGCAGCGAATTAGTTAAAAGGAAACTACAAAATGGTGCATTAACTTTTTTTTTCTCCTCTTTGCTATTGGTTGATTCCCGCTCCCGTCTGCTCCCGTGATTAACTCAGTGCCACTTTTTATTGGAGATGAGCATAGACTGTAGGTAAATAAGAAAAAGGTAACGGTATTTGAATTGACGTCTATAGACGTCTTTGGCAGCCAATGAGTTAATAGCAAAGATGTCTCCCATCCCGTGGGAATCCCACGAAAACATGTCAGCGTCTATCGTGACCCCCGGACAAGCTTTAGCAGATCGTCCCCCAGCCATTCGCGTTGAAAAACATAAAAGACGTCTATAGACGTCTTTGGCAGCCAATGAGTTAAAAGGAAACTACAAAATGCTGCTGCTCCCGTTAACCATTCATCCCGTACCGTCCAAATCCCGTGATTAACTCAGTGCCACTTTTTATGGGAGATGAGCATAGACTGTAGGCAAATAAGAAAAAGGTAACGGTATTTGAATTGACGTCTATAGACGTCTTTGGCAGCCAATGAGTTAATAGCAAAGATGACTCCCATCCTGCAGGAATCCCGTGGGATTCCCGAATAAATGTCAGCATCTATCGTGACCCCCGCGGCGTTGGGATGTGCTCACCTCCGGCGGCCCCCCCGGTCAGCCCGGCGCTGGAGAAGCCCCCCAGGACGGAGCAGGCCCCGCCCAGCCGGGAGGCCCCGCCCCCCCC